CAAGAAGCCTAAAATAGCCGAAATAAGGGGCGCCTTTAAATGGGGGCTATGCCGCACATTACCTGCCTGCAGACAAAAGACTACACTGAGCAATCACTCGAGTGATTACAACAGACAGACGGACATGCTTTTTACGCTGATCAAGAATATAGGGTCGGAAATAATTATCTCGATGAGTAACAAACGGAAAACCAAACATTTAATACCCTCCACACTATGGTGGAGCATATACAAATCATGCATTGGTTTTAATACTGAAATATATATGAAGGTACATTCATATATCCCTACAGACCTCCAAATTTCGGGTTATTGAACGTTATATAATTATTTTTATGGGTGCGAGCCAATATGAATTTTTGAAATTTATTGGTCCTATCATGCATTCGCAACATTCTAGAGAAAAAATTGAGAAATATGCGAGATGTTGATAATTTGTGGATGAGGTACCTAAGGGATTGGTTCCATATGACCCATTTTCGGAAACTATGTAGATTTATCATTTTTTAAAATAATATATTTACACATTTTCAAAAGATGTTATACATTCACTTTTCAGCAAAATGTTGACCATTTATAGGGGATATTATATTCTGCATGCTTTGAGCTTGTTTTAGGTATGGAAGAAATATTACGAAGTGCAAAGTGAATATCTAGTATTTTCTCATTAAACCATGTCACACCTAAAAAGTGTCGACAGCATCTAGTTCAGAACCTGCAGATGGCACAAGGCAATGTATGAACATTTTCTCTGTCATACTAAAAATTTTAATTCGATAAAATAATATAGCTTTAAATTCAAAAAAAAAAAGAAAATATAAATGTACTTATTTTACAAATGACCAAAAACGCTCAAAAATCCAAAATAATCTTCTAAATCTTTCTAAATTTAGTAGACTTCATTACATAGTGAAGTAATATCATTTGCAGGCATTCGGCTACATTGTCATCTCGGAATTAGTTTTTGGAATTAATAATGTTTCCATTTATAACATTCTTTACTCTCTTCGGCATTAAGGTTCCAGCAATTGATAGTTTTTTCAAAGGCTGAAAAATTCCCAATTTATTGAATGTGGACATGACTTCGCACTTCACATTAGACGACAGAAATAGATTCACTTGGATATAATTAATTATCAATTCTATGAAAATTTGTTCAGAGGACTAATATAAATATCTACCAACGGAGAATAATCACGTCCCATGCCTCTCACCCCTCCACCAAACAAACAATTGTCATTACATTTTCAAATTCAATGGTACAAAATTGTAAAAATCCTAATTCCGAATCTTATTTCACATACGAGAAAATTCATTAGCTGGCTGGGTTTTCATAAGCGCAAATCATTGTGCGCTCTAGTAGTGAACTAGTTATTCCGACAGTAACACTTTGCAGCAAAATACAGCAAATTGCAACTGCATTAAACACCCGGAAAACTCTCGAGCAAGCATCACAGTGATCTGTACATTGTACATCTAAAACATTGAGCATTACAGAAACAAACAACCATCGCCATCCCATTCCATTCCATCCCATCGATAACTACACACTACTCTCCCTGGTTTACAAACATCATTTCCTGTTTCCGCCAAATCAAAATGTACAAATGACCCCGGCTGCCGGCCTGCCAGCCATTATTGGCTGTTGTTCGTTAAGTTTTGATTTAGCAGAGAATGCAGCAACCAAATGGCTAATAATGATGATGGTAAAATACATCAGACCGACTATCCATACAAATGAGTTGCAGTCTTTGATATTTGCCTATAATAAGCTGTATTGAGTTGATGAAATACGATTTATGTATGTGTGTGCGTATTTGAGTGCGGTGTGTGTGTGTAGCCGTATGTGTCCGAATGTGGTAAACATCAATAAATTTCCTAGCATATATAATAGAAACAGTGTAGCGCTTGATATTTTTGTTTAGGAAAAAAATGGAAATATTTAATAGAAGCCTCAAGGAAGCAATGTGAAGTTCGATCCTATCAATTTTTATTTAAGGGGACCCCACCCATTCTCGGTTTCAAAAAATTTAATTATTTATTTTGTTTTTGCAAAATAGTCAGGATTTAATTTGAACCTACACTAATTCCAGAATGTCCCCATAAAATTTTCAAGTGAAAATTCCAAAATTTTTTGAAGATATAGCCGATTTATTGTGTTAGCATCAAGTGACAGCACGTGGGCTTCTTAAACTTTAAACGCGTTTTTCTCCAAACAGCGTTTTTGCGAATGGCGGGCACGATAACTCAAAAACTAATAACCCAATTGATTTCAAATTTTGGGACGTTTCTCTGTGAGTGTATAGCTGTCATATGAACTAGGATAAAGCCAATCGTTGAAGATCTTTCTTATTTTTTACTTAGCTTATGGTCCAAAAAAGCCAATTTTGAAAAAAAAAATCGAATTCCGATGTTCCAGTGAGGAGTTATCTTGCCCGCCATCAAAAATAAGGACATTTCTTTGATCACAAACAACTACAACAAAAACAACAACAAAATTTGTTTGTAAATTATTTTTCTTCCTATTTAAATCTTCAAATATATATGTGCGAAGTTACAAAGCTTAACATGCATTGGTATTCATTTACCAGCTCATTTAAAATCTTAAAAATAAAAAATCGAAAATGGGGGGGTGGTGTTCCCTTAAGTATTTTTCACCCGGCTGATTTGGTTGTTTTTTAAATATCACATTTCTATCCGGCAAATTATTTTTGTTCAATTGTCTACTGTTATAATTAATTCTTAATTTTTACTATTAACTTTCGTGTGAGTGTTTCTATAGCTACATCAAATATTACATTTCGTTTCACTTGTTTCACTTCTCCAAACACTGTCTGTATAACAACATTTACACAATCGTACCAAAATAGATAATTATAGTTAACCGAATGCGTATATTTTCTCATTTTGTGTGAAGTTTATTTTTGATCATTGATTGACATTTAGCAGGTCATATACGCAATAACAACAGCAACAACAATGCATTCAAAACGGAAACACTAAAAACAATAATCACTGCAATTTCGAAAAGAACATTTACTACAAAACTGACAGCGATTACCTCCCACCCCCTTGCTCTCTTCTGTTATAGTTAACATTTTTATATTTCAAATCGATTTTACAACAAGTTTGACACATTTAATATATCAGTTGTCAACACATGACTAGAGTGTCAATGATTGTATGATGTAATCATGTCATCATAAATGTCATTAATTTTATATCTAAGTTGTAATTTACATATACAAAATAATTTTATTAAATAAATTTGGGTAAGGTTTTAGTTTGTGGACAGATACGATATTTTTCCATATGAATACTTCATTTATATATTTTCTTGTATATATTCCTTCAATTTTGTTACTCGATGTCTATTGTCACAATAACAGAACGTGGTAGAACATAAAAAGCCCATACATGGGTGTGTAGTACTATTTGCCCTTTGCTTCAATACAGCTGTCACCTATAACCGGGTTTTTTCATAACAATGAAAATGACTGAATGTTTAAATAATTTTTTAAAGATTTCATCAACAGTTTATGATAATAATTTAAATTAATGCTTTAAATAAAAAAGTCGTCCCATTATAGAGCTATTAGGAATTAATAAAAAATAAAAAAGTCGTCACTTTATAGAACTCTTAGAAATTAATTTTTAAAAAATATATTGAGCTTGAAAAATAGTTTAATAACAATCCATCCGTTTATAATATATTTTTTTAAAAAATTCTTAAAATTTATGAGGACTCTTGGACTATTTCCTAATAATAATTTCAAACAATATTTTTATAGGTTTTTTTCTGTTTTCAACAAAATAGGGGGGGGGGGGGGGGGGTTTAAAAAATATTTTTTTTAATCATAAAATAATAAAGCCTGGATATTTTATTTATATAATATTTTTTTTTCAAGAATCAATAGAGTGTATTTAAAATCAGATTTGGAAAATTGAGTCCCATATCTCAGAGTGGAGTTACTTTCATCACATAAAATAATAATAATAATACATGCAAAGGTGTGCCCTCGAAATATCGCTGGAACAAAAAATAACGGCGAAATATTATAGACTAAACGATAACTTGAAATCGAAGGCAGTTGTAAAAAACCACAAACGTATAAACTTTTTTCGGTCTATACCAAAACAAATACCTTTGTTTTGCACTTAACACGTAAGGTTCGTTTGTATGTGTTTGTGGAAGAGATTATACAAAAATACGTGTGTATGTGGTTTATCTTTTGCCATTGATGATTGTAGGCAGAGTTCCTGTCCATTATTAACCCTATTTGGCCTCTTAACTAAGTCAACCATGTTTTTCATGTCCTTTTATTATAGTGGTCGTTGTTGTTGTTTTTGGTCTTGTTTTAGCTGCACTTGTGGTAATGTTTGTTTTTGAGCAGCAACAATTGTTGTTGGTTTTTTTGAAAATGAAAACCACAAATATTAGTTTTGGGTTTTGATTATATCCACTTTTATGAGTGTTTACTTGTTAAATGTCGCGGTTTTCATAATTGTACGGCTATTCGACACCACTACCCTAACATATAAATTTATTTATATTTACAATCGAAGAGGATGTTAGAATTTCTTCGTTGAGTATTCTGTGTGAGTATTTGGATGTATGTTAAAAGCAACTGATATATAAAGGATATATTACATACATATATGAAAAGAGGACTTATTTTCAAATGAAAAAAATGATTGTGAAATGTATCAGGATAAATTCAAAAATTCTTGGTACTTTCAATAACAATTTCTCAAACTAGACTACATTCCATGTTAAGTTGAAGTTATGTCAGTCAGTGATTACTGAAAAATTTATTTCAATATCAAAGGTATACATTTTACTATAAAATTGTATAAAAATAGCATTGTCACACAATTATAAACCAGCAAAAATCTCTAAGATAACAGAACAAAATTATAAATTCATCTTTACACAGCATTACAAACATATTTCACATTGAAAGTAAAAAATAATATTTGCTTCTCTTTTTCAATTGCAGCACCATGACCCACAGTTTAATGACTTTGGACATATCAGGGAATAAAATGCAGCAAATACCCTATGAAGCATTACAAAGACTACATTCATTAACACGTTTGGTGGCGCAACGGTAAGTTACGATACTCAAAATATCATAAACTTCCACCTTCCAAATACTTAAAAATTCCATTAAAAATAAATGAAGAAAATTCAACATTTTCACATTCTCTGTTTTTCCACTTCTCCACCTACCACCTGCAGAAATCACATAACATCCTTAGATGTCAACTGGGAGGCACAGCATGACACCTTACGGTCACTACATTTAGCTGGTAATGACATTACCGAAGTATCGCCCACCTCACTGCATGAAGGTGTCAGCCATCCTTCATCGGCTGCCATTCAAACCATAACCAAAGATGAACATCTTCTCAAAGGTTCACACATATCCTCCAATTCCATAACCGGCCTGACACACTCGACCAGCAGCCACCAAACGGGAAAACCGTTTAATCGTCTGCAGAAATTGTTATGGCTGGACCTGTCGAACAACAGAATTTATCACATCTCACCCAACTTTCTGCCCCGCAGTCTCATAACAATCGACTTGTCTGGCAACCTGTTGTCAGCATTTCCCCACCACTTGTTCGAACATCTGTATGAGCTGAGAATTATTTCACTGCGTGATAATCTGGTGAAAAGTTTAATGACCAAAGACCAACGGCAGGTGCGAATACATTTGGAGAAATTGGACATGGGCAAAAATCTGATAGAGACATTGGAAAGCGACTGTTTTCAAACGAATTACTCGGACGTCCATATCAGAGCATTGAATTTGGAAAAGAACTACATAAGGCATTTGCCAGCCGCTGTGTTCCGAGACATCGGTACGGTGCATTTAGTGTTGGCCTTCAACGAGATAGAACGGATCCATGTTAACGCCTTTGAGGGCATAGAGGAAACATTGGAATATCTGGATCTGGAGAGAAATAATCTAAACAGCGTTCCTGGGGCCATCAGTCGTCTGAATCGCTTAAAATATCTTTACCTGACATCGAATAACATCAATCAGTTGAGCAATTTACCGGAGAATACTGAAAATTTGAGAGTGCTCTCGTTGAGTGGGAACAATTTCACGATGATTCCTGTGTTGGGTCTCAAGAACTACACCAACCTTTCCTATTTGAATATGGGTTATAACTCGATAAGTGATATACCCGAAAGCATCTTCACTGTAGATTCTTGGGGTTCAAATTTGCAAACCATTCTGTTGAGAAACAATAAAATTACCCATCTACATTTGAACTCCTTTGCCGGACTGGATCAAATTCAGGAAATTTCTCTCAGTTTTAATGACATCAATATTCATCACCCCATGGTATTTGAGAATGTCTCGAAAACCTTAAAGATATTGGAATTATCATTTGCGGTATTTCCGGCACGCAGCATGGAATCTATAGACCCTTTGGATGCTCTGTACCCACTGTCACAGCTTATGTGGCTGGGCTTGGACAATAACAATCTGAAACATTTAAACAATGAATCGTTTTCGAATATGCGTGAACTTTCCTACATAAATTTGGGATTCAATCAACTGAAGTCGTTGCCGAAGGGTTTATTTTTGCCCGAGATTCATTCCCATTTGGTGGAAATAGATTTGGGCTATAATTCCCTGGAAAAATTATCCGCTCAAACATTCTATAATCTTGGAGATTTGCAGACGCTGAACTTACAGTCGAATAAAATCCGTTTGATCGAGAAACATGCCTTCCACAATTTGGAATTCCTGCGTTATATTGATTTATCGTACAACAAATTGTCCAACATATCACATCAGGCATTCACAACACTGCCAAATTTAGCTGCTCTGGATCTGATGTTTAATAATTTGTGTTCGTTCTCGTTGAAAACATTTCACTATGTGTCGAATACCACCACTCCGTTGAAATTGAACCTTACCTACAATCGCATCAGCAACTTTGAAGATACCCTCTCATCGTACATGTATATCTACAATTTAGATATAAGTCACAACCTAATCAGCAAACCAGATAGCTTCGCCAACTTAGCCAATACCTTGAGATTTCTGAACTTGGCCCACAATTCCATACAGAATTTGGCCAATCATGCCTTTGGTGATTTGGAATTCTTGGAAATACTCAACCTGTCACATAACAATATAACGAGCTTGAGGCGTCGCAGCTTTCAGGGACTTAATTCCTTGCAGGAATTGGATTTGAGTTATAATCGTTTGGATCAGCTACAGGTGGAACAATTCTCCAATCTTAGGAAGTTGAGGATCTTGAAAATACGCTGCAACAAATTGAAAGCTTTGCCGCGTGAAGTCTTCATGAATACCCGACTGGAGTACTTGGATATATCGGATAACCAGTTAACTGTGTGGCCAGTGCCTGCCTTTTCCGATGTGGGCTTTACACTGCGCAACATACAAATGTCTACCAATCTGTTGGAATATTTGGACTCCAGCATGTTTATAAATTCTCAATTCTTGTATGACATCAATTTGTCGTATAATAAGATTACCGTTTTACCCGACAATACCTTCAGCTTTTTGAATAATTTAACGAATTTGGATTTATCGGCGAATCCATTGGTCACCACCAACCTAAAAGAGATCTTCCTACACACACCACGTCTAAGACGTCTCAAAATATTTAATATGGGTCTCTATGTGCTGCCTCAACTAAATCTTCCCCAACTTTCCTATTTGGATGTTAGCGGTAATTTTTTGCAAGAATTATCATCGCTGCACGAAATGCGCCAACTGAGATTTGTAAATGTGTCACATAATAAGTTCGTTAATGCCTCGTGTGCTGTGGAACACCTACCACCCTCGGTAAGGGTTTTAGATTTAGCTCACAATCCCCTCAGAAGAATAACCGTGCACGATATGGCTTCCTTGAGGCATCTTTCAGAACTCAATCTGTTAGATGTCAAAGTTATAAACCCTTTGGCATTTGCCAAGCTAAGGTCACTGAGGAAATTACACCTAACCGCCCATAGTAATTTGGGTGAAATTGTGTCTCGAATACCGGGACTGCAGGAACTGAAAGTCCACAGCGTAGATGCCAATATTGGCGGTCAACTGTTTGCCAAATTAATCAACAATACCAAACTCCATTTGGTGGAAATATATGGGACCAATATTCAAACCATATCACCGGATGCATTCGAAGGACTGGCTCGCAATCAGAAGCTGCAAGTAAAAATATCACATACGAAAATATCCGATTTACCACCGGGCATATTCTATCCCTTGAGATTGGTGCCCCATCTTTCCATCGATATATCGGATAATAAAATCAATGCACTGGCAGCCGATAGTTTTTATCCGAATAAAACCTATTGGGATACAGTGGGTACACGCAGTATTATTGGTGGCCTACAGACATCAAATAATCCGCTAGAATGTGAATGTGGCCTCGTGTGGTTCGGTCATTGGCTGCGAAGATGGTTACGTGAATCTGCTCAAATAAAAGTCATACAAAAGGATGACATGAAACAAATGGTTCAGGTATGTAGATCAAGGGAAATTATATATAAAATAATTAAATATATATTTTTTAATGAAACCAGAAAATCGGCTATGGACCTTATATAAATACGCCTTGCGCTGAACCTATACAAATTTATTTTAAAGATGTCAAATCAAATTAAGTTTATTTTATAGAATATTCTGAGTTTGAAAATGGATTCATATCGATATTCTTAAAAAAAAAAAATAATTATTCTCTTCAGATTACATTCCAGAAAAAATATGTATATAATTGTATAATTTCGATAATTAACTGCAAATGGAAATAAATAGATTTTTCTTAATGGATTATACACAGAAAAAAATAATTAATAGTGTTCAAAAAGTGATACTAATATCCGAATTTCTGCAGTTTATGAATGCAATTCATAAAATTTTAAATACTGCTTTCCTGTCAGAGAGAGAGGGAGAGAGAGACAGAGAGCATAAAAAATGTTGAAGTTGTGCTTGGTGGTGGGGCGGATTTTCTATAGCAAAGAAATTATGTGTCGTTCTGATTTTTCTTTTTTAATTTTATCTCACTTTCCTTGTTTCGTCTTTCTCAGATTTTTTCCTACGTACTTACATGTTCTTGTTTTGCGTCATTATAACAAGCCATTGCAATGTTAAACTTACGGTTCAACTTGTTGCTCGTATAAACACTTATCTGTTATATTGTATTTGGCATTTATATCGAAATAATTTGGAAAACATACATGCGAATTTTATAAACAACAATACAGTCGGCAATAGTGTCTCAAATAACGAAACTATGGAATGGAAAACTAGCCACAATCGAGTGAGTGGATAGACCGCGGTTACAAACAAGAAAACCAGTATAAAACGGTTGCAAAACTAACAAGCAACAAGTGAGCGAATAGAGAGGACGAGACAAAATCAAAACACAATCGAAGGAATCGAAGTTTGTCAAAAAAAAGTGGTAAACTAGAGCGAAGTATGGAAATGGTTTTGATATTCGGAAGGTTTAAGGATAAAATAGCGGCTTTCTAATGATTATACGAATTTTATTCTATTATAAGTGATGTACACGTGTAGTATCTCGTAATCAATGAAATTATGAAAATATTCATATTTTTTCCTGTGTAAGACCACCACCAACAAATCGTCACAACATAACACATAAATTTGGCGTTCCTTTTGGGTATTATTATCCTTATTTTTCACGAATTTTCTACCCCAGGCCATTTGACCCAATTTACTGGGTATATTATATTGGAATATATATTTTTATTAGTTTTTCTTACTTAAACTAAATTGTTTTTGTTTTTTTCTAATTTTGAACACCAGCTTCCTTTAAATTCACGTGATATACGCGTAAGCGCACTCTTTTTTATTTCCCTCTTAGTTAAGCTTTTTATATCGTTGTATATCGCTACAAAGCTAGTTAAAATTTTTAACGCCAAAAAAAAAAAATAAAAAAAAACATTTTTTATTCCAGCATTCAACTAACAAAGCCATAACAACTACTATTCTCTGTTTGTTTTCTTTTCAGCGTGCTCGTGCCAATACCTGCCATGATCCCACCTCTGGCAAACAGATGCCGATTTTGGAAATTTTCCCCGAAGATCTGCTGTGTCAGGCATCTGCCCTTAGCAGTTCCGGCGAAAAGCTGTTTCTTATTTCGTTTGCTGTCATCATTTTACCCCTGTTCGGCATGACACTTTGATAATCGTAAGCCTCATTATCCTCATTTCATTAAATGAATACAAAGAAGTCTTTATTTGACTTTGTCACGCCATAATGTGATGCGTAGCTGGCTGGCTGGCTGGCGGACCTGCCAACCTGCCCGCCCAGGTTGGCAGGCATCTGCCGCCAACATTCACATCACACAAAGGCTGTGTGATCTCTTACTTTTTGTACAGTTAAACGATGTAAATTATTTCCTTTGTAAATGAAAATCTAGTGTAAATGAATATATTTAAGCTGCAGAAAACGATAAAAAAGAGATACGAAAAATAAGTGAAAACTAAACGTAAACAGTTGTTAAAGTTTTATACCCCCTCGAATTGTCAAAGTGACTATTGTACTGTCAAACAAACAAACACTCACTCACTGAACGTAAAATAAAATAACAAACAAAAAAAGAAACTCCCATTTAACGTTGATATGGAAATTATGAATGACATGTTATTGCAATTTAAGGAATTTTAAAAATAAGTTAAATTATTCATAGATAAACAAAAAACAGAAAACAAACCAGAAACGAAAGAAAACAAAAACAACATCAACAATGGGCCATTGATTCCTATTATAGAAGAAAACAAAAACACGAAGAAAATATTATGCTAAGACAAAAAAAAAGAACTATGGAAAGAACACATAAACGAATATTGTAAAACAATA